TTTTTCTGCCGAGGGCCATTTGGATATTTATAACATCCTTCACAGGCCATGCAAACTTATCAACTTAAAAAGTTAGCCTGTTATATTTAGTCAAACCTTTAATTAACTCATCCCTAATGCCTTGGCAGGGCCAGGCCAAATGATTTCTCGGGCCTCATACAGCCCACGGGCCGGACGATTCCCACCCTGGTGTAAAAGGCTACCTAGCAAGCTCTTTATACGTAAGTTCATCCTGGGTGAGGGAGTGGGGCGGGGGAACGGAGGACTTCAGCATGTAGTGTACATGCTTGTAGATGATTTGATTTTTTTACAATTTTATTTGTCATTAAAAAAGAGCAAAGGGACAGACAAAATTTTGGTGGGCTCAAGCACAGCAATATGGGGTTGGGGATGAGATGGGAGAGACGAGGTTAGGCGCATATGGGCACTGGCAGGGTTTATAAAAATTCAGAACAGATTGATCAAGTCCTGTCTCTCCACAACTAGGAAAGTCTGTGTTCCTGAGCACAACCCGCTTTGAGATGCATGCCTTGACTTGATGGTGGGTTAGGAGGTATCTTTATATGTCATCACCACGCTCACTGCGTATGCGCATATTAGGAAAGAGTAATAATCTCACTATTTCTCTAAGATGAGAACAGGATACGCCTTTGAGTTTCATTGAAAATAAAATGAAATAAGAGCTCTCGGGTTAAATTATCAGCATATGATCATCTGCAATATCCAGGAATAAAGGAAATTGCTGTTTTCCATTCAAAAAGAGAAATAAATAAATAAATAAATAAATAAATAAATAAATAATAAATCCCTCAGGCAGAGGCCCATGATATTGGGAACCATTTGACAATCACTGAATGCACACACATATGTGTACTTACACACACACGTATATACACACATGCAGCTATGCATCCCATAATAACAATCTCCCGAGCACTGTCTCCAGAGTATGAGAACAGCCTTGTAGGACGCCAGCACTCAATGGCTCACCCGGACATCCATCTTCCTCAGCTTCCCTTTAAACTAGTGATCGTTGCAAAACTACGTATTTTCCCCAGAGAGTTTTTACTTTCAATTGTGTTGAAATGTTCTCAGTATTCAATATACTTCTTCGGAGAAGGTAGCAGCTTTTATCACTTGGCAGCTGCAGGAAAAAACAGTTCCCCGAAGTATTTAACTTGCTCCGAGAGATAACCTTTGTCTTATCCTTCCCTACCTTCAGTTTCTAGCACAGGGACTGCGCACCGCAAATGCTCGATAGATGACTGTTCATAGGTTTATCATCCTCTCCTCCCCAACTGGAGTCTCACTGACTGCCTCTTTCATAGTTTTTCATACAATCAGCCGATTACCACTCTCATCTTTAAAAAACAAACAAACAAAAAAACTAGTTCAGTTCATAGTATTGCAGCAATTTTAACTGTACTGTTCATTTCTTAGTATTCATAAATATACCAGGGTTACATAAGATGTTGACATTTAAGAAAGCTGGGTGAAGGGTATAGGGGTGGGGACCATGATCTCTCTTTGCAAGTCTTCTATAAATCTAAAATTATTTCAAAAGTAGTTTTAAAAACAAAACAAATCTTTAAAAAGTGAATAAAAGAAATGAAGTTCTCTTAACACCACTTCTTTTTCTACCTACCATCCCATTTTCCCCCTCCCCTTCACAGTAAAATTATTTGAAAGTATAACCTATTATATATTCACTCATTACCATTTATTTCCTCCCAGTCCTTAAATGCACCCCAATGTGTTCACCCTCGACACCCATCTTGTCAAGATCACCAATAACCTTCCAGTTGCTAACCAAACTCAACAGAACTCATCTCCCTGTCACATCTACAGCGCATCGGAGCTGACCATTCTTCCTTGACACACTTCCTTCATGTGGTTGCCTCACCCGCACGCAGCTTCTTTCCCCCCTTCCTGCTTATAAGACACTTTTTGCAACTCTTAAGAGGCGCAAGCCCCATCAGCTTCCACAGCTTAGTGTAGATCACTAACAAAACAGAGGACGCCTGAAACAAGTTGAATTATCAAAAATGGACTGCAAGGGATGAAAACAAAACAAAAAGCCATGAATTCATACCATAAAGATATTTTTAAAAATCTAGTTATCTTTGGAGGTTGTTAGGGCACCAACTCATCGCAGGCTAATTGACTTAAAAAAGAGAAAGAACCAAGCATAGATCTTATCTTTCCTGTTCATACTCATTTCAGGGCAAAGTGAATGAGGCCAAGTTCTTTATAGAACAATCACGGGGAATAAATGCAAGAAAATGATAGAAGTGGACAATGAATCCTTAATGAAATGGTAGGTATAGACAATGATCCACAACTACTAAAATAATTAGGTGAAAGGTTGGTAGAGAACCTTATACTGGATGGATCAGGCTGATGCAGTTCAGTGGCTTGCTCAAGGTCATCTCCCTAGCCAGTGGCATAGCTGAGATTTGAACCCAGGCAGTCTGGCTCGAGGGCTCACCCCAGTCTACAGTCCCAGGCAGAACACTGTAATTTCCTAAACATGCTGCTGGAGTTAGCTCGGTGTGAGTACCAGAGAGATCTTGACTGGCCTGGTAGGCCAGGGCCGCAGGACATTCTTGGCCAGCAGACCAGAAATACTGGTCAGCTCTCAGCACCAGAAATGACAGAGCTGGAAGGAACCGCAGTCCGTAGAAGGTCACGAGCTGGCCCATCTCAGTGGTTTACAGATGGTGATGGTGAGTCACTGGCAGGGCAGTGGGCAGAGCAGGAACCTCCAGGACAGGTGGCCCTCGCTCTATGACAACAGCAGGCTCAAGGCTGTGGTGTTGGGTGCTCAGAGGCAGTGGGTAGTACTCCTCCCACGCTACATGAAGATGCTCACCCTGCACCTCCGCCCCCAACACAGGAAGGCCTGGGGAGCCACTTCCTCCATACCTCGAGTCTCCTCTCTGCCAGCTGTCGTTGCCACTTGGCAGAAGAGCCCCTTGCTGCTCCCACGTCCCTGCATCTCATTGTGCTATGCTGCTGTGCTCTCGAGTACTCAGCCCTAAACCCCAGCCCTCGGCCTGGACACTGTGGGGGTTAGCTCAGTCAGGGATCCTTACAGTGGTCAGAGCTTCTCAAATTCCCTTCATCTCTGAAATGCCGACCATCTCTGCCTTGATGGATGTTAATATTCCTATCCGGTCAATGACCCCTCTCCTCCCACCGAATTCATATCTGGCATTGAACCTAGAGGGTATTATGCTAAATGAAATAAGTCAGATAAAGACAAATACCATATGTTGCACTTATATGTGGAATCTAAAAAAACAAAATAAATGAACAAACAAAACAGAAACAGACTCATAAATACAGAGAACAAACTGATGGTTGCCAGATGGGAGCGGGGCTGGGGGAAAAGGGTGAGGGGATTAAGAAGTGCAAATTGGCAGTTACAAAAGAGTCACGGGCTAGGAAGTACAGCACAGGGAATACAGTCAATAATATTGTAATAACCATGCATGGTGCCAGGTGGGTACTAGACAGCCTGGAGGGATTACTTTGTATATTATATAAATGTCTCACCACTGTGTTGTATGCCTGAAACTAACATAAAATAATATTGAATGTCAAGTGTAATTGGGGAGTAAAAAAGGAAATAGTTGACAAATGATCTCTGCTTAAAACCTGACAGAATTCAAAACAGGGTGGAGGCTAGACTGGTGATGCCACCCATTGTCAGCCCGTAAATCACGGCTGTTTCAGCCCTTGGTCCTGGGAGGCTGCAGCCAGAGATGAGAGGGCACCTGCTTTCCATCAACTCAGGCACGGACGCTCTGGGCGGCAGCTCCTGGGTTTCCCGCACTGAGCTGTCCTTCCCAGACTCAGTGTCCTCAGCGTTCTCCCGGCAGGCAGCCTCGCCAGAGACTGCTTGTCTCAGAAAGGCTGGCCTGGCCCCGGCCCATGAATTTCTTCTGGATTTTAAAAAATCTAAACAAGGATAAGAACCACCGTCTGCTTTATAGCAGTTTTCACCAGGGCAGCCTTGGAACGAGGCTGCACCATTCCCTCTCCCTCTCCCCGTCCTGGGGCTGCCTCCCCACCTGGCCTTAGTGAGAAGTCAGATGTGAGCTGCTTCTTCCAGTCACTCAACAAGTATGTGTGGAGGAGCTGCTGCTGCCAGAGACGGCCCTGGCAGAGGGATGAAATAAAAGGCAGAGAAGCGGGATTTGGAAACAGCTCTATACCCCGTAATCAATCCTAAGCACATGACCACAGCCAGCCCGGCCAATGAAGGCAGATTCCACATGGAACACAGCGGTCCCCAAGGCCTTTGTCCCCAGCAAGAAGCCGCCTCTACACACAGTGCTAAAGCGGGCAGCCAGGACACTGCACACAGAAAGGGCTTCATGTGAGAAGAAACTAACAGTCAGGATACAGACTTGGGATATTCATTCACATTAAGCTAATCTGCTGGCTATTCAATTCCTTAAAGCAGTTTCCCTAACAATATTCTGTTTCCAAACCCGGCTTGGATGGTCTTAGGAGGCAGGGCTGCAGGCCATGGTAAGGTCACCTAAGACACTGGGCATAAAGGATTTTCAGAGAAACATTCTTAAGAATGTGTTTAAATTATAAGTTTATTGAATATAAGATATATAGGCTGCTGTCAAATAATTTAAAGATAGCCTGCATGTCACGCACAAAACCTCATTTTCTTATGATTAAATGTAACTATGTGTCTTCTTTTTCCCTCAGGGGAAAGAAAAATCAATTCAAGGTACATCATGAGATAATCAAACAGTTACTAATAAAAGAAAAGTCAATACAAAAGAACAGTTCAATGATGTCTTTGCCAAAAGTTGATCATTTAAGTCTTGTCAGCTGGTTTTTTCTTTCTTCTCCAAGTCACTCTGCCCACAGCCTTAGGAAAAGACGACGGAGTGGAGGTAACCTCACCTTATCTTACCTGGAATCACGTCCCGGGTAAAATCCACAACCCTCTCCCTTCTACCTTTGCCTGCTCCCTACCACCACTTCTCAAAGCAGATGTGTTCCTTGGGAACATGGCTGTTTTCTAGTTGCTTGGAGAAAAAGTCTGTCATTGGAGGTGGGCCACAAATGTAGAACAAAGTCTCTCTTGAAATGTGCTCTCTTATCTCCTTCTCCGTTATTCTTCCTTCTACCAAGAAAGAGAATCAACACCGAGCTAAGCCAGACATGTTTGCACTGAAAGGAGAGGGACTAACCACAAGGCAGCAACAGTGTTTATTTTCAGTAACTGGAGCTTAGTGAGTGCATTCACACGATGGCCTCTGCTGGCACCTGGACCAGGCCTCGGCAAAGTGCATCTATGGTTTCCTAAACTTACGCAAGTAAAGTGGGAAGCCAATCGCAATGCGCTCTCAGACTCAGGCAGTGAACTTACTGCTCTTTGGGAGAGATTCAAAAGTGCCTTAAGCAGTAAAGAAACTGTTTTGTGAAAAATCCTTCCAGGCAGGGGAAACCACAAGTAATTTAAATTACCATTAATGACAAAGGGCATCGGTTCAGCCGAGGCTGGAATATAAATTCTTTGCATGCATGCTATAGTGATGATGCAAAGGTCCCCTAAAAAAATGTGGAGAATAAATTTTTAATACGGGCCGTAGGAACACAGTATATAATAAATAAATCCAACTTAATCTCTCCTTATTTTTTCCATGATGAATCACCTCTCTAGTCCCCAGGTAATGACATTCCCAGCTAGCAAGTCCAAACAGTAAAGCATCTACACTCCACCAACTGGCATGTCCACCACACAACTATGGGGAGACAGTCAAAACATCTTTAGGGGACTCACCCGTGATGTATGGCTTGAGTTCTGCACTGATCGGTGTAGTTTGCTTTGTAACATGCAAACTGCATGCAATCTTCTCAGGAAATTCATTTACTAAATCGAGGATATTTTTCTGGAATGTCAAACATATTTGGTCACACTACAATTTTAAAAAATCAAAACAGATGTGCACAACCACGGACGCCGAACCTCGCCTCCCATTCAGCACACGTCGGAGCTCTTGCTCTCTACTTACGGAGATATTGTTTGCAGCCGAGCAGGCCAGAGCTCTCAGAGTACTGAGGCTATTTGGCTTTAATTGAAATCTGAATACTATGCTAACAAGCATATTACGAACTCTCCGGGAGTTTATTCTTTTTTTTTCCTTTTTTCCTTTTTTCCTTTTTCTCAAGCCTGGGCAATTAAGCAGCAGTTTCACTGACCACAGTTCTGTCTTTTTAACTGTTACTGTTCTTTTGTTCATCCTTGCAGCTGCAAAGCAATCCGGTGAAAGCCTTCTCCATCACATGCACTTAGTTTCCCACAGATGCAGCTGATGGGGTTTCATGTACCCAGCTGGGTCCCAAGCACACACTTGTCACCTCCTCTTGAAACACATGAGCCCACTTGTGCTTCTGTCTCTTTACAGTCCCAGGTCCATGGCGACTTTTCTGTCCACCCACCTCCAAATGCAAGCCCACCGGACCTGCCCTTATCCAATCATGGCCCTGGGCGCCTCCTCAACTCCAGCTGTTGTAATCATCCCGGTAAGATGTGTTGGCTAATTTTCTTTTGAAGATCAAATGAAGATTTGTCAGGCGGCCCTAACCAGTTTGGCTCAGTGGATAGAGCGTCAGCCTGCAGACCGAAGGGTTCTGGGTTAGATTCCGGTCAAGGGCAAGTACCTCGATTAGGACTCGTGCAGAAGGCAACCAATCAATGTGTTTCTCTCACATAGATATTGCTCTGTCTTTCCTTCTCTTTTCCATTCTCTCTAAAAATCAATGGAAAAATATCCTCTGGTGAGGATTAAAAAAAAAAAAATTAAAAAACAAAATCTGTCAGACCTTTTGTTGGAACTGCTGCAGAGAAAACATAACTGAGAGAGGCAAGTTCCGTGGAAAGTTAGTTCCTGTGAGCAATTAGTACCAGCAAGCTATGGAGCATACATCCCCCCTTACCTTAAACAGGAGTTCGCTGGTGTTTTTTGCGCTGTAGAAGAGTCTTATTGTCCCTATCTCATATCCACTTCCCCGGTTTGTCCGTTCTCGGTGGAGATCGGCCGCGTGCCGCAGGATGGAAAGCAGGGGGTTAATTCCGACTCCTCCGGCAATCAATACGAGGTTCCTAGAGGCGTCCGCGGGCTGAGGGTCAAAGAAGAATTCTCCTCCCACTCTCACGGCCACTTCAGAGTCATGTGTGCACTAGGCAGGAGAGGAAAAGTAGCACAGGGCTAACACATAATGTTCTTCCTTAGGAAACTGTGTCTACCTCCGGCGTGTCTGTCAGTATTTAGGACTATTTTTACAGCTTGCTCTCAAGTTTCCCAGGGCCCTGTGAATTGATTCCACTTGTCCATGACATAGGCAATTTGCTCCCTGCCTTTAGGACCTATACTCACAGCTGCTCCACTATTGAGAAAAGGAGACTCGCTTGAATAACTTTGCCATTTGTTAACTACATAGGTGAGGGCCTGGGTTGTGAAAAGAGGCACAGGGGACACCTCTGAAGTATGAGTTTCCTTTTCTGATCAAAGCCATGGAGCTGAGAGGCCAGACGGGCAAGTGTCACTGACTGTGGCTGCCCTGGACTCATTGGTGCTGAGAAGTATGGGCACTGGAGGCTTCCTTCTAGTGACCAGCAGGGCGCAGCCAGGCCTGCTCCACAGACTGGGGCCAGTGGCCACCACTGTAGGACTGCTCAGACTGTTCCTTTCTTCCCGGAGCAGTGAGAACAGGAAACCTGAGGCTTCACACCATGGAGTGAGGACCACACACCCCCACATAAAGCACCTACTGCTCCGTGAAGTCACACCAGACTCAGAGCTGAGACTGCTCTGAGGTGGGTGTTTTGGAGACTTGTAGTGACATCTCTATTGTCACAATGATGTGGAGAACCCAACTGGCACTTAGAGGGCAGGGCGAGAGGTGCTAATGTCCTGTGCAGCTTGCGGTGTTCTGGCGCTGGCTCCTCCTAACCTGATGGTAGAATGTGCAGGAATTCTATGAGTGAGTACCTACTGTTAGTGTGAGATCAGCCACTGGGGAGTGTTTACAGCACAGAAATCAGCAAAGGCTACAAATCAGAGCTTTCTCCCTCAGTTTAGTAGCACACCATTACCTGCAATGCACAGGACTGCCCAGCAGACTTCCGAATGGCCCATGGGCCATACACATACGGCATAGGTGAAAATGGGGTTCTAATGACCTGAGACTAGACTCTAACTCATTCTACAAAAAAACCAGAAGATTTTTATTTTCCGCATGGATCTAACATGGTCTGAGTTTTCGAGAATCTAATCACCATGTAGATGGTACTTTGTTGTGTGCAGAACATTACTAAGCATGTTCATTCACTGTCCAGGAAAACTGCCTCACAGTTTGGTAACATGTGTGTGGTCCTGTCAACACACAACCCGCATACCTGCACTTGCAGACAGTATATTCATGTGATTCTACAATGAGGGACAGTTGTCTGACTTCATTCTTTCTCCTCGCTCTAAATATCCCAAGCATTTACAAATTGAAATACAATCTTTGGTTATGAAGCACTTTCCTTTATTTCTCCTTGGTATCACACTTAGAGAAGTATGTTTAAAAAAATTATGTTGATTGCATTAACTTTGGACTTCATTTCAGGGTAGTTCTAGAAAGGGGCCATTGGACCTGACAGGGATGAGAACACCTAATTAGAGGAAAACGCAGTAACCTAGGAGTCGGAAGACGTAATCACAGCCCCTATGCAATCCAGCCAGTCCCTTTACTTCTCTGAGCCTCTGCGGCCACATCTGGAAAATGGGTCCCAGCAGTGGGGCTGCTCACCCTCAGGGCTGTGGGAGGCATGACATGACACAATGGGGGTGTTGGAATTAAGCTCCACAGAAGAGGATGCTGGGGGGTCACTGCGGCTGAGAATAAGCCTGGGGGGTGCCAGCTTCCTTCTTTCCTGTCACTAAGTAACAGAACCTAAAACTAAGAAATTCGTATTGAAAGAATAGGTGTGTTCCATTACATGCTCCTGACATAAATCAACTAAATGAACTCCCTCTTCAGAAGTAATAATGTACCACACGCTTTCTAAGACCAAACCTTGAGCACTCACATCTCGGCACCATGCATGACAGGCAATCCTTTCTGACATCCATTTAATCTGGGGCTCTACAAGTTAAAGAAATAACTAAGAAAAAAAAAAAGAAAAAAATTATTTGAATTTCACAAAGAAGGCCCCTTGATAAAGAAGTGTTAAATGAATGGAAATTCTCTGAGGGGAACAAATACACACTTAAACTATTTTAAATACATAGGAGAGTTTTACATGAGGACGGTAAGTGGTTCCCATTTTTGACAAGGAATTAGCAGCAAGTAGTAACTCATTCTTAGAAGTTATAGAAAAATCTCTGTAAGTAGTAACTAAAATGTAAGAGTCACTAGACTGGCTACCGAAGTGCTTTAAAATATCCTTCCTTTCAAGTCTTGAAAACAGAATTTATGATACAAGTGTGTCTGCCTAACAATGACAGTGAATTTAATCTCTCTGCACCATGCTTCCCCCTCTTGTTTGCCTGTACGCTTATCTCTTTATCTCCAAGACTCTGAGAGTAAAAGAGACTAAGAAATAATTTTCTCCAGTGGTCATCGCCACATGCTTAGTAATGACAACAAACAAAGCCTTCAGGTTATATTGTTTTTAGAAACCACAGTATTTTCAACCCTAAAGTTGCCAAGAAACCGTGCCCCAGGGAAAGATAATACTCAAGAAGACTTTGTCTCTTTAGTGACAAAATAATCTTCAGAAGATCTATCTTCTAATTTGCTAGCATCTGGAAAGAATCAAAGCCATCTTTGTCTTTTGTTGATCAATGAAAACTGCCAGGGTAGCAGGAGCACAAGACTCGCAGTCTGTACAGCACAGTGTGGAAGTGAATAAAAGGATTTTACCTTCAATTACATAGCAATGTATCTAATCTGGGCATAGATTTTCTACTTGTGAAACCGACAACTCTCCCACAGCTACGGGAGCAGACACACAATAGCTGTCTAGAACCCTTTACCTTGCCAGGAGTTAGAGCCAAAGCAGACAAAATAAAGGAAGACGTTTATGGTCCTTTATTCCATGTCCCAACAGAGCAGCCTGCTGCCACCCAGACACACTCACGCGCCTCCATTGTCCACCTGAATAGCTTAATAAGACAAATTCTCAGGAGGGATATAGGCACCTGAGACTGGTTCCAAGAAAAATCTGACTTCATAAAGGCCGTTTGCAGCTCCCACTGGGCAGAGTGGAACAAGCACTACAATTAGGATGTGCACTCAAGCAATGCCACTCGGAGGTTTTCTATAGCCTCCAAGAATAAGTTTCTTCATTGAAATGCCAATGAGGCATGAAACCAAGCGGGGAGTTATGGACCAGGACCAGGTCGGGTCACGTGGGAGGCTGACAACTGGAGGGGCTCCTGGCACAAGGGGCCGGGATGGCTAAGCTCATTTTAACAGTGAGTGCGGGGCACTCGAACACCTTGCTGGCCCCACCCCTACAGCCTATTATAGAAACTCAGAGTGCAGCCTGGAGATAATAATGGAGAGACAATCTATAAAGGAATGATGCAGCTGAGGTCACAGCGAATGGAGGACTCAGGACAGAGGACAAATGTGGCAGGATCCATTTACAATGGGACTACTAAGGCAAGCAGCTAGGGGTTATTGTGAACAGACAACTGGACATGTAAACCATAGGAAGGCAATATACTTTTATGCCCCCACAGATTTAAAAATCCTTTATTGTTTAAATTATTTTACTGTGAATTTTTTTTTTTGTGCACAGTTCTATGAATTTTCATACATACACAGAACTGTGTAACTACCACCAGAATCAAAATCTAAAACAGCTCCCTCAAGCCCAAAACACTCCCTTGTGCTATCTTTTTATGCTCACCCCCTTCCCCACCCTCACCCTTGTCAACTACTGATCTGTTTTCTGTTTTCCAGAATGTGACATAAATGGGATTATACAGTACATAACCTTTGAGACTGGCTTCCTTCACTCACCACAATGCCTCTGAGATTCACCCAAGTTGTTGTGTGCCATCAATAAACAGTTCCTCTGCCTTTACTGCTGAATAACAATACAGCATAACAGTGTGCTTATCCACTCACCTACTGTGGGTCATTGGGGTGGTTCTAGTTGTTGACAAACGTGAACAGAACTGCTATAAGCATTCATGTACAGGCTTTTATATGAACAGAGCCTTCATAGCTCTAGTATTGGTATTGCTCGGTCCTAGGTTAAGTGTGTATTTAATTTCATACAAAACTGCCAAAATGCTTTCCAGAATGGCTGAAGAACTTTGCATTCCTGTGAGCAATATAATAGTAACTGTTGCTCCACAACCTTGTCAACCTTGGCATTATCAATATTTTCCATTTGAGTCATCCTAATAGATCTGAAGAGATATCCCACTGCTGTGGTTTTACTCTGCATTTCCCTAATAATTAATGTTTAGAGATGTTACACATCTTTTGATTGCTTATTTGCCATCCTTCTTTCCTTTATTAAAATAAAGTGTCTCTTCTATCCTTTGACCATTTTGAAATTATGCTTGTTGTTTTGGCTGATTTTTGAGAGTTCTTTACAAATTCTGGCTACAACTTCTTTGCTGGATATCTAAATTGCAAACACTTTCTCCTAGTTTTCAGCTTATTTGTAAAAAATTATAAATAGTGTCTCTTGCATTAGAAAGTTTTAAATTTTGAATAAGTCTGTCTATCACACTTTTATGGATCTTGTTTTTGGTGTCATGTCTAAGAAATCTTTGCCCACCCTCAAGTTCTGAATATTCCCTATGCTTTCTTCTAAAACATATAGTTTCATGTTTTATACTTAGTTCTACAAGCTATTTTGATTTAATATTGAATAAAAAGTATGAGAGGTTCTTTTTTGGGGTATAAATAGGCAATTGTTCCACACTATTTGTTGAAAAGGTTATCCTTTCTCCATCAAATTTAACACTTTTGTCAAAAATCAAGTGGCCAACCCTAGCTGGTTTGGCTCAGTGGATAGAGCATGGGCCTGCGAACTGAAAGGTCCCAGGTTAAATTCCAGTCAAGGGCACATGCCTGGATTGTGGACTTGATCCCCAGCAGGGGGCGTGCAGAAGGCAGCCAATCAATGATTCTTTCTCATTGATGTTTCTATCTCTCCCTCTCCCTTCCTCTCTGAAATCAATAAAAAATATATATATTAAAAAAATAAAAATTAAATTAAAAAAATCAAGTGGCCAGCCCTGTCTGGCATCGCTCAGTGGTTAGGGTGTCAGCCCATGCACCAACGAGTTGTGTGTTTCATTCCCAATTAAGGGCATGTACCTAGGTTGCAGGTTCGATTCTCAGTCCCAATGGGGGCACGTGTGGGAGGCAACCAATTGATATGTGTCTTACATCAATGTCTGTCTCTGTCTCACTGTCTTTCTCTGTATCTCTCTCTCTGTTTCTCTCATGCCCTAATCTGCAGATTTAAACAGAGATCTGCTCACCTGATTGTGAATCCAGACAGCAGGAGGGTGATTTGTATATTTCACTGCCAATTCTATTACTCTCTCTTGTTCTAGCAGCCGGGGGCTGGAGCATATTGAGAACCCACCAACCACAGAGACTCCTGGGATAAAGAAATCAATCCTAAAAGGAAAGGAAAATAAGTTATTACTGTTGAAGCAATTTAAAAAGTGGGCATCAAGGTAAACAAAACTGGCAAACTTTTAGCTAGACTAAGAAAAAAAGAAAAAAGAAAAAAGAAAATATAAAATTACTAAAATCAAGAATGAAAGATGGGACTTCATTGCCAACCTTACAAAAACAAAAGACTACAAAGGAATTCTATGAACAATTATTTAACTAAAAATTAAATAACTTAGATAAAATAGTCATATTCCCAGAAAAACACAAAAATACCAAATTAATCTAAAAAAACAAACAGAGCAGGGACCGGTTTGGCTCAGTGGATAGAGCGTCAGCCTGCGGACTGAAATATCCCGGTAGGGGGTGTGCAAGAGGCAGCTGGTCGATGTTTCTCTCTCATCGACATTTCTAACTCTCTGTCCCTCTCAATTCCTCTTTGTGTAAAATCAATAAAATGTATTTAAAAATTTTTTTAAAATAAAATTAAATAAAAAAAAATAAAAACACAAACAGAAAATCTGAACAGACCCATAACAAATGAATTGAATGAATAATTTTAAAACTTCCCAAAAGGAAAGGATAGGTTCTAGTGGTATCACTCATGAATTCTACCAAGAATTTAAAAAATAATTAATATGAATCTTTCACAAACTCTTCTAAAAAAAAATAAATAAGAAAAGACCACTTCCCAACTCATTCTATGAGGCCAATGTTACTATTACCATGATACAAAACCAGAGAAAAGTATCACATGGAAGGAAACTATAGATCAATATTCCTTGTGAATACAGATACAAAAATTCCAGGAAACAAGGTTGGTTTACATCTGAAAATCAACCAATGAAATATACCACTTAATAAAGGAGTCTCAACAGAGACAGAAAAGGCATTTGAAAAAATTCAACATCCTTAGATAATAAAAATATTCAACAAACTAGGAATAAATAGGAAATTACTCAGCCTGATAAAAGGCAGCTACAAAATATCCATAGCTAACACTATATTTAATGGTGAAAGGCTGAAAGTCTACCCCCCACACACACACCTCACCAAGAATGGAAACAAGACATGGATATCTGCTCCCATCACTTCTTGTTAACATTAAGGTTCTAACCAAGGCAATTAAACAAGAAAATTAAATAAAAAGCATCCAGACAGGAAAGAGAAAGAAGTTGCAGATGACATGATATTGTATATAGAAACTCCTAAGAATTTACTATGAAGGTAATAAGACTAAGCAACAGGTCAAACACGGTTGCAGGATACAAGATCAATAACAAAATCAATTGTATTTCTATAAACCAGCAATGAACAAACTAAATGTGGATTTAAGAAAAATAATTACATTTGTAATAGAATAAAATAATTAGGAATAAATTTAACAAAAGAAGCACAAGACTTGTACAATGAAAACCACCAAACCTTGTTGGAAAAAAAAAAATCAAAAGATCTAAATAAATGGAAAGACATCTCATGTTCATGGATTGAGACTTTATATGTTAAGATAGCAATACTTCCCAAACTGGTCTCCAGATTCAATGCATTACCTATCAAAACCCAGCTGGTTTCTTTGCAGAAATTGATAAACTGACCATAAAATTAATATGGAAATTCAAGGAACCCAGAATAATCAAAACTTACCATTAAAGCTACAGTAATGACACTGTGATACTGGCATAAGAACAGACATACAGATCAATGAAAAAGAACTGAGAGTCCAGAAATAAATGCTTAAGTTTATAGTCAGTTAATTTTTAACAAGGTACCAACACAATTCGAAGGCAAAAGAATAGCCTTTCAATAAATGGTGCTGGGACAAGTGAATATCCACATACAAAAAGAATAAAGTTTGACTCCTACTTCACACCATAATCTCAAAATGGCTCATAGACTTAAATGTAAAAGTTAAAATTATAAACTCTTAGAAGACTGACACAGTAGTAACTCTTCATGACAACAGTTACCTAGACACCAAAATACAAAGGTCAAAGAAAAGAATAGAGAAACTAGACTGCATCAAAAGTAAAAACATTGTGCTATAAATGAAAAGACAACTGACAGAATAGGAAAAGACAACTGACAGAATATTTTCAAATCATACATCTGATAAGGGAATTTGTATACACAATATGTAAATAATTCTTATAACTCAATAAAAAGACAACTCAAATTTAAAAAATGGGCAAAGGATTTGTATGAACATTTCTCCAAAGAAGATATATATAATCACTAATAAACACATGAACATTTTAAGTTATTAGGGAAATGCAAATCAAAATTACAATGAACTATCACTTCACACTCGCTGGGATGGATGTCTAAGTAAGTGTTAGTGAGGAAACTGGAAGCCTTATACATTAGTGAGGATCTAGAGAAATTGGTAGGACTTCAAAATGGCACAGCCACTTTGGAAAACAGTTTGGCAATGCCTGAAAATGTATGAGTTATCATTAATACTAACAATTCCATTCCTAGGTATATCTAAGAGAAATGAAGACATATGTCCACTCAAATCATGTACATGAATGTCATAGTAGCATTGTTGATAATAGCCTAAAAGTGAAAACAATCTAAATGTTCATCAACTGATGAATATATAAACAAAATAGGTTATAACCATACAATGGAATGAAGTAATGATACATGCTACAACATAGATGAACACGGAAATTATTTAGCAAGTGAAAGAAACCAATCATAGAAAAAAACACATATTGTGTAATTCCACTGATATGAAATATCCAGAATAGGCAAATCCATATATACACAATGTAGACAGTAGTTGTTTAAAGAGGATGGGAATCAATGATAACTGGCATAGGGTTTCTTTTTGGGACGATGAGAATGTTCTAAATTTGATTGTGCCAATGATTTTACAATTCTGTGAATATACTAAAAACCATTTTAAGTGGCTAGATTTTATACTTTAAAATGGGTGAGTTTTATGATTTGTGAAGTGTATCTCAAACAGCTTTAAAGGTGAAAGAAAGGGGGGGGGGGGGGAAGCAACAGAAACTCTTTCACTGGTATTTGACAAACTAAACAGGTTGATGTGGCCTTCTAAGCTGTGAAAATCTCATGTTTCTTTCTTTTCTTCTGACCACACTCCTATAGGCTAGGACTCCTGGAAATTTCAAGCCTTAAGTAATCCTTTTTGGGTGGGGTCTACGAAATGCAACAAACCTAGTCACGTATCAAGAAAAGAAAAATTTATTGGAATTTGGGTCCACAAAAGATTCTCATCTTCATGTCTAGGAAACGTAAACATCCAATCTTGATGTTTCTCAGCCATCACAGAGCAATAGTATCATTGTCCCCAGCTGTTTTCCTACCAGTAGTCTTACACAAAAAGCACACAATGTTCTCTACTGATTTGATCTGTGACCTTAAAAGATGTTCTCTTTTGCTCTATGACCTTAAATATCAGGTCATTTTTTATAGTCTTTAAAAACCAGTTCTGGACTGGAAGTACTCCAGAAAAGGTCCCTAGCCTACTTTTGCCTATATATGACCATTTCCCATGAATACCTTAATTTCCCTTTCATTTCAAGCAAGATGTAATTTTTAAAAACTATAGTTAACACTTATTAACACAGATGCTATATGCTTTCTCAGAGAAGGTATATAGCATCTCCACAGCTTCCATGTTTTAAAAAAATAAATACATCGAGCTACTTTTGCGGCTTCATCGCCTAAATTATAGCGCCCTCTGCTGCTTGATGTTGCTAAAGACCATTCTCAGGTGAATGACAGGAAATCCCTCTTCTCTAAGAAACTCTGGAACGACATTGACCTTGAGAAAAAAGGACTTCATTAAATGCTACAGAAGAATTCAAATGACATAAAACCTCATCTCAATGGATTTAAGAAAATACGCACAATACATATTTAATAAAGCATCTGTTCAAGAAAGTGCCTTAAACACATACACAGTAACTAACCCCTTTGCACGATTAGCTCTCTTGAAGCTGAGATGAGGCACCTACTGCGCCGCCACCTACCACACCTCCAGATGCGTGAATATATGAAGAACTGAGAGAAAGAGCCCAATTCCGTTGCGAGCCACACATATCCACATCCAACTGTCCAGGCAGCGCTGTCCTGGCCAGCTGCAGTCCCCGTGCCCGGCACACACCAAGCATGCAAACCATGGATACATGACAGTGCTTTACACTGTTCTCAGCAACAGTCCTCAGAGCCACTCACCCTTCCTTGCACAAACACTGCAGATGAAACTTGCCTACCACAGTGTGATTCACAGTGGATGTCCAGATGCAAGGATGTCTTGGTTCTTGCCCTCAATAAACCCCTAATGGTAGGAAAGTTAACAAATAAATACAATTAAATGAGCTATGACAAAATCTGCTTGGCAGAGGGAGAAAATGCTCATCATCTGAGATCTGTCTGGAAGTACTGTACTTAGCATAGATTCCTTCTCAGCTCTAATATGATATCCTGATTTTAATCAGGAAAACACTGATAAAGCCACTTTTGTTTTTTAAAAATCTGTTTGGGGGAGTGGTTAGGTGCTAAGTGATGGATCTAAAGGTTTAGCCCCGCTCATGTGAAAAATGGTTCTGCAGCAGTTTCCTCTTTTGGCCTTTCTCTCTGGGTTGGATTACTTGAGTTCTTAGAACCAGCCCCCTCTGAGGGCCCAGTAAGAACACAGTGCAGCATGGGAAGAGCCCTGGAGGCCAATCTGTGGTCTATGGCACAGGTGTCTCAGTGCTCAAAGCTCCAGAGCACTGGAGCCCCTCAGAGTTTGATAGATATCAAAGGAGATCAGGAATTCAGAAATCTCCCACCCTAAAGATAAGCCCAACAGCAACCCTCTCCTTTATCTCTGAACAGCATCCCACTCTGAAAACCCTAACTGTACAAACTGCAAGGCAGCCAATCCACACCCGCTCTCTCCCTAACCTTGCCCTCTTCTCCAAAGCACAAGGAGGTTCTCCATGGAGGTTACCACCGAGCTGATGCTCTAAGAGAGCCTAGAGCACAAACCATCCCGGCGACAGCACTGAAGGAGTGGACTCCACCAACCTAAGCAAATGGCCATGCTGTTCCCATGAAGTCAAAGGGCCTCACAGCCCCTACAGCCATGCCTTCTGCTAGTGCTGAGGGAGCAATCTTTCTAAAGAGGAGGATCCAGGTGCCAGGAATGAGTGCTGAGTGACACCTGGCAGGGAAAGGGTCATCACTAACCAGCCAGAGATGACCACCTCCATACCTGGCCCTCCGAAGCCAGAATCTATCAGCCAGTTACTAAAACCAGTCCTAACATCAGTAACCTGACTAAATCCATTCACTGATATAGGAGATATACCACCAACCCTCAATAATTTTATCTTGAGATCACAATGGAACCTATTTCTATGTATATCACTGGAGAATGATGACATTTTCCTCATCAGGTAAGCAGAGTTTGCAAGTGCTAATACACTTGCAGGCACACCATGGTAGCAGCGTTATAAACCAATGCCTGGGATTTTTCTAATCAGGGGACTGGGGACAGTCTTGGCACAGTTTAGAGCTGAAGGCACAGAGACAATGCTGTGCACAGGACACAAACACTTCCCCAGAAGGGAAATGTGGAAAGACAGATTGTTACAATTAAAGTTTCCATTTTCCAATGTAATAGCTGCTAAACTACTACTGAAGGGCAAAAATGTTGCCCACCTCCCCCTAAAACAGCCCAAATGCATTTAATATGTATCACTGAACATGTGCAAAGATTGCAGTAAATTGCTTCACAAACGCAAATTATTGCAATCAGCATCTTGTTTTCTAGTTCTAAATTCAAAGGCAAACTATTAACACAAGACTGCTAACTCTTGCTATTATCACACTTGCTATTATCACACATCCTCCTTCTAACAAAACCACATTTCCAGATGGACTGCCAAAATTAGTCAAGTGACTCCTAAGAAACGCGACCACACTGACATGCCAGAAATTCATTTAGAAGTGAATGCTTTATTTAAATAAAGGAAACATACACCCAAACACACCTTTCCTAAGGAAATGCGAGTTGCTTTATTTACAGTTCAACGTGAATTGCAGCTCGTAAGACCATTCGCAGGGAGTGGGACGAGACTGGACAGCTGGGCTGTTACCCTGTCAGCACACTGCCTAGTCAGTCCTTAGAGCCCGTGAGTGTGGTGTGTGCTAGGCCTGCCTGTGGCTCCTGATAATAAATCCAGCACTGATAAGTAAACTCAACCCAGACGAGATAAGAGTGATGCAGGAACTTGGTTGAGAGGGTGGTCAGCTCTGTGACATACTGGTTATTCTTCTATCCAGACTGCTGTTTCCTCTGAATTTTTGACGTGAGGAACACTAATTCTTGAAAACATCAGTCCCCGGCAACACATAAATCAAGGTTAGATTACTTCAGTACATTTTACTAGCAACCATCTTACAGACAGAATTATCACAGTTGCCAGGTTCGTGGACCAGAATTAACTGCTTTGTTTCAATAAGAAAAACTCAAGGCAGAAATTTTCATATATGACTGAGAGGGTCTGGGCTCAAAACCGAGGCAAGCTCCGAGGCTAGGAAAGAACCTGGTTCTCTATGTCAGGGAGGGCTCACCGTGAGTGGAGGTGGTCTAGATTCCTACCCCTCAGGAGTAACTGCAGGCCACAGACGTCCTTTCCAGAAAGAAAAACAAGCCCTTCTATCTGGTGGCATCTTCCTACCCACACACAACCCCTAGAAACAGAAAAGCCACTCACCACTGGCCGGCTTTAAAGGAAAAGTCTTGATCAGCAACAAGCAGGCGGAGCCTCTTCACGGAGGGTGACTCATTGACTGTTCCACACACCTTAGCTGCCGTCACGACCTTGAGTCAAAAGATGAACTGGCTAAGGTTAGTGTGTACACAATGCGAGGAACAAACTGTGGCTTTCTGGTAACTAGGGGTTTTTTCCAAATCTACAAAGATGTGGTTTCTTAAAATTGCAAAACAGGGTAAAGCATGCCTTGCTTTAAAATGCTGCCTACCACCTAAAGGTGAACACATTTTAATTATCTTCTTTTTGAGAAACTTGTTAAAATACTAATTGAGCCCTGTTAGTGTGCCTCAGCTACTGAGCACTGACCCAGGAATTAAGAGGTTCAATTCCTAGCCAGGGCACATGCCCCTGGTGGTGGGCTCGATCCCCAGTAGGGTGCAGTGTGTGCAGGAGGCAGCAATCGATGTTGTTCCTCTCTCATTGATGTTTCTCTCTCTCTATCCCTCTCCCTTGATCTCCCTCTAAATAAGCAATAAAAAACATGTTTAAAAATACTAATTGAATTGTATCCTGCATACAAAAATCATCTCTTGAAGGGACTGTTTAATAAACAAGTGTTTATTTGTTGAGAACCTAGCACGTGCCATGCACCTGGCTGGGCCCTTGAGACTTGCTCAGGGATTGGAGCCCTGTAAGCCACCCACCTGGCATCTGAATTCTCTGTGAGTACGACCTACGCAAAGTGAGACCCAAGTTAGCTATGAACCTGTGTTTGTTCTGAACCTGCAAGAAGTCCGTGACATACAAATTCCAGAAATTAAAAGTAACTACAAAACAGATGAATATTCCTAGTGTCCTGACCTCTCTGAGTTATTTTCAAGCTCAAAAACCTTCAAGGCTCTATAACACTTAACTACAAATAACTCATACCAGCTTAAGCTACTCTTGGCTCCCTGGGCTACTGGTTTACCAGCCAAACTGGATGGCATGCTGGTCCTCAAAGGCATCTGACACTTGTCTATCTCCCCAATGCTGCCTAGGTCATTCGGCACATGGCACACGCTCTCGGTCCTGTCTATCAACCTCTTACCCCACCTTCCAGACCTCTTCCTCTTCCCTCCATCCCCTCAACTCTACCCATAAAACGATCTGCCTTTATTATCATACTTAGCCCATATTGATGTAATTATAAATACTCAGAACAAGTCTCTCACACAGACCACATGCCTTCTAAGATCAGATACTGGGTAGAATTTACATCTATACCAGTATTCCAGGCCTAACACACAGTAAGATTCAGCAAATATTTGGAGAATAAATGGAAACTCTAACTTAAAGTCACTTAAAATTGGCTACTAAAATGAAAGTTAGAAGTTTAGGAGCCTTTTGTGGCTTAAAAAAAAAAAAATGTTAGGTGGGGGGAAAAACACTACACAAAATCTAGATTCATGTTCAAAACCACAGAAGTCAGGGAAGGCAGGTCTTCTCAACAGAACAGGAATCTTCTTGTTTGCCATGCAGTCGATTTTAAACATCTTACTACAAAGACAAGTAATAAGAATCATCAGAGGGTTCTCCTTTATTACATTACTAGTGACCCAGTGCACGGATCTGTGTACAGTGAAAGGAAATTAATTAGAAGGTGGCCGGTGGGGCAGGACTGGGCGAGACGGGCCAGACATGCCCTGGAGCCAACCTCCCACAGTCCCGTGGAGTGAGCGGGGTCCCTCTGATAGGTGGGGTCCCTTGGCCTGGCCTGTGGGGATTGGGCCGAAACTGGCTCTCCGACATACCCCAAGGGGTCCTGGAGTGCAAGAGGGCACTCTGAAAAGTTGCTGTCGTATAGGGTGTAGAATGCAGACGCAAGTGTGCAGTAAACCAGACTCGGGGCCTCAGTGATCCAGCAACAGCATAACCCACAGTCAAAGGTGGAATCGCTCAGCCCTGCGAGGAATCAGGCTCCCTCCTCTCTGGTTTCGGGGGTGTATCACCCAAGAACCGCCACTGCCAAGTCACTGCAGCTCCGCAGCTCCTGCATTGAGCATCTGCCTCCTGGTGGTCAGTGCACATCATAGCGACCAGTCAGACATTTAGTATATTAGCCTTTTATATATATATAGATAGATTACTCTCATTTTTCTTAGGTTTGTAGAAATGTTTAGTTTGTAAACATTCATTATTTTCCTTCAATATGATAATCTTTAGAAACAAAGCCAAGACCTAGATTATCCTAATAATACAGAGGTAATATGCAAATTGACTATCACACCCTCACAAGATGGCTGCCTACAACCAGGCCAGCAGGGGGGTTAGTGAGAGACAACCAAAAGACTGAACAGCAGGCTGTGTGGGGTGACCAAGCCAGCAAGGAAAGCAGTTGGGGATGACCAGGCTGGCATGGGGGTGCAGTTAGGGGTTACCAGGCCAGCAGGGCGGGGGCAGTTGGGGGTGAACTAGCTGGTTAGGGGCAACCAGGCAGGCTAACAGACAGGTGAGTGATTAGGAGCCAACGGTTCAGGATTGTAAGAGGGATCCTGGATTGGAGAGGTTGCAGGCTGGGCTGAGGGGACAACCTCCCCTCCCCCGTGCATGAATTTTGTGCACCGGGCCTCTAGTTTCATTTATAACAGTTTAACTGGCATCTGTCAGACTCATGAACAGAGCTAGATATGTGTAAGTTTTAAACACATCCCAAAGGGTCACCTGGTGGCAGAAAAGCCACCATTCATAATCACTGGCTGGAGGAGAAAGAGGAACACAGAATTTCAACCGAAACATGTGAGCATGCTTCACAATCATAATCACATGCTCGTCTATGTGAAGTGAAATCACCAATCATTTGCCAATGTCCAAATACAAAATTCAACAAAGAAGGGAAAGAAGCTAAATTTCTATTGGAAAAGTCCTCTTTTTGCCAAATCCAGTTTGGCTCAGTGGATAGAGCACCAGCCTGCAGACTCAAGGGCGCCAGGTTCAATTCCGGTCAAGGGCATGTACCTTGGTTGTGGGCACATCCCCGGTAGGGGGTGTACAGGAGGCAGCTATTCAATGTTTCTCTCTCATCGATGTTTCTAGCTCTCTATCCCTCTCTCTGTCTCTCTGTAAGAAATCAATAAAATATATTAAAAACAAATTCCTATTTTCATTTGAATAGACCCTATGACCAACAATGTTAATCAGATGCTTTATGCCTATTGGTAGTAACTCACATACTAATATACCTGTTGCTATTAGTCCTCACAGTCTAGCACAACTGCTACAAGTGGTCACAATATCTTGTACAATTCATGATTTTTAATACTGGTTTTATTTTGTTAATACCACTATATAAAGATTTCTAGCAAACAGGATTAAAAACGTTACAAAATCTTTTTGAAGGCCGCATCTTTATTCTATTCTGAAGCTAGTCTCACATGATTAAGATCTGTAATCATGGCCCTTGTTGTGTGCCATTTTTTCCTTTACTTTGATTGAATAAGTAAAACATGATGGAGAAACTTTATGTTTTAACATTTGTACTTGTTCTCATACTTAACGGATCAAAAGATTTCGCAACTGAAACCTCAACTAGCCATGCCCTAAGTTAAAACACATGGCAGGAAATGAAGTTTTCCATAAAATAACATTTAGACTCTTCTACTGTTCAATAAAATAACAATGCACTTGCCAACTTTTACTAGCACGCATTTTTAAGGCTTTGACAAAGTCAGCATCTAAGAGGAAATTCCATCAGACTGATTTTTAAAAGCTGGTTTTATATAGGTATCTTGATGTTACTGCTGCTACAACAGTCTCTGTACAGGAAATAGGTCTTTCTTTGGGAAACCTAACTGGCTTCCTCTGTTCATTCCCATTCATTCATTGGCTTAAAAATGTAGACAAAGCCAAGATTAGCGATGACCTGAAACAAAAGAGGGCACAGAGAACTTCAGAGTTGAAGAAAACTTGCTCATCATCAAAAATATTATGTCATTTTACACATGAGAACACCAAAGCCCAGAGCCATCAGTCCACTGAGGCGGAATACCACTCTAATGAGTAGGAACCTCATGAAAATATACTGGTTTTACTTAAGAGATTTACTGGCAAGGAAAGAGCACAAAATTCTGACAACTGCACAACTTCTCAAGTGGTTTATGCCTGTCAATACTACATCCTGGCAAATGAATTCTCCTTGATCCTACCAAACGCTAACCTGTCCACCTGGGATGATCTCTCTGCCTTCTCAAACCTTCAATGGAGCAAGTATCCTCTCTCATTTATCACCCCTTTCTCCCCCTCTCCATGAGAACACATGCAAGCACTCAGACCTTCCATCTGTAATAATAACATTAGGAGCAAACACCTATAATCAAAGCTTACCGTGTGCCACACACTTTCCACACATGAATTCATTACACACACGTCACAGAAACTGTAGAAGGCAAGGGTTAGTACTATCCCCATTTTACATATGAAAAAATGTGAGGTCTCACAGCTAGTAAGTGGTAAAGCAGGTACTGGAATCCAGGCACTTGACCGCTGTGTTTCTCAAAATACAACAGACAAGCAAGCCTCTGCCTTATTCCAGCTATCACCCCATTTCTTTGCTCACATTCACATAAAAGTGTTTCTGGATCCACTTTCTCATCTCCCTTTCTCTCTCTAACACAAGACAACCAGGCTCTTAGCAATGGACTAACGCCAGTCATTCTGGTCACCACTCCGCTCTTCGCTAAACCCAATGATGACCTCTGCAGAATCCAGCACAGGCCCCACTCCCTCCTGGAAACACTCTTCTCCTGGCTTTACCAACTCCCTGCAACTTCCCTCTTGCCCCTCCTTCTCCTCTCCCCCCATGGTCCTTCTGCTGCTGCTTGACCTCTAAATGCTGGCACACCCTGGGGCTGAGGCCTGAGCCCTCTTCCCTGACTCTCTATGCATCTTAAACTTTTTATTTCCAGCAGTGAACTCCAAACTCTTCCACCCAACTGCTGACTTGGATTCCCATTTCGAACAACACATCCAACACAGAACGATTTTATCTCCCAAAGCTTCTTCTTTTTATTATTATGCAAATTTTCAAACATATACAAAACTAGTAAAAATAGTATAAGGACCTTTCATGAACCCATGTCCCAAAGTCAACATGGTATGAATTGATAAAAACTCATGGCTAATCTTGTTTCATCTGTAACTCCATCTACTTCCCATCCTCCCACCCCACATTATCCCAAAGTTGAGCTCTTTACTTCCCCTCCACCATGTCAGCAAATACATGGCACCATCATCATCTACCCAGAGTTCAAATCCCAAAGCCAGAAATCACCTGGTTTCCTCTCCACTCACTAACTGTACCCTCACCTCAATTTGTGAATCCCATTAGCCTTGCCTCTGTCCCAGATCCACCACTGCTCTCCGTCCCTATCACTACCAAGCTGCTGTAAGCCACCATCACCTCTCCTTTGATACCAACCTGGTATCAAAGCACAGCAAAAACCCAGTGTCTACCAAGCAAATAGGTGACCCATTACAATGTAAATCACCTATCATTTTCCTGCTTTAAACCATCCCTCACTCTTAGAACAAAATCCCAACTCCTTGTCCAAGCCCACAGCTGTTTACACAACCTGGGCCCAGCCTATCCCTCATCCTACCTTCCTCTGAACAGGCCAAGCGATTCCCTGCCTCAAAGTTTGGCTCCTGCTAGTCCTTCTGCTAGTAATGCTGTGCACCTGTCTGGCTTCCTTCTGTATTCAAGTCTCGCCTCAAATGGTACCATTTAAAATAGCACCCTGACTCCAATCATTAGCCTGGTTCACTTCCTTCATAGTTTTGGGAATCCTGTCCAGAGTATGCCGGATGCTCAAGGCCAATTTGCCATATGCAGGTGCAAAAGCAAGGACACAGCAATTACACTGTATGCAACACGCAGGCGTGCCTTTCTGGAGCCCAAGTTCTGATGTCACTATTTGGCAAGAAGCCTCTTTTGTCCAAGTTGGTATGAAGATGTGCTGTTGACCAGCCAGTGCATGGCTGCTTAGTATGGCTCCTGTTTGCTACTGTATTAGCAAGGGCTGCTTTGTGCGGCTACGTTGTAAGGTTACTTTGAAGGACTGCTTTATGTGATGGCTCCTTATTAGCAATGGCTACTTGCTCTGCAATAAAGACTCTCTTACATGCCTATGACTTCTCCTATCTTCTCTGTCCAATACCCGGATCCATGAAGGTACAGTCTCTGGCAGAGGGGTTCAGACCCAACAGTTGGTGTAGCTGGGCCAGATAAAGGAGTAAGTACTCCCAACAACTGGCGCAGCGAGCAGGGTTCAGGAGGACGTGCAGACTCAGGAGCAAGTGCTCCTGACAACTGGCATCATGAACAGGATCCAGGAGAAACTCACTATGACAACTGGTGCAGCGAGCAAGTACTCTGACAACAGTGTATATGACACCTGACATTCTCTAGTTTATCTGCACCAGAACGAAGCTCCACATATAACAGGGGCTTTACCTGCTTCATGCACTACTGAGTCCCCTGTACCTACAACAGGACCGGGCAGACAGCAGGCACTTGACACATGTCTGCTGAATTTAAAATAAAATACTTCATCTGACTGGGTCTCCTGGGTGTGTGGGGGGCGGGGGGAGGAGGGGAGAGGGAAGGGGGGGAAGACACCTTGCCTCTTAGGTCAGTTAAATTATTGAAATGCACCAATACCATACATTTAGACATGAACAAGTTCAGTTCTGGGCATAGGTAAGAAGCAGTAGCATAGGCAATATTCTTTCATTACCAAACTCTCCCATCAAATTGATGAACAGAGTACATCTTGCTCAGGGGGCCAGCCCTCTGCAGAGCCATGCACAGAGTTACTCCTCCAGTGAAAACTTAGTTTTGCCTGAACAATCCTTATTACTTTACAGTATTTCTACTCTTATCTCTTTGACATTTTGAAGGCTACCCAGACTGCTTATTCTTTGATCCTTGAGGAAAAATTGCGAGTTCAACACAAGCAGTCAAATGCCATTCAATTCAAGAGCTCATTTTCCTGCATTAGCATGACTCAGACTGGTTACTTTACAGCCTCCAGAAAGAGGCATCAACATCACAATATGCTCATTCGGTGAGTTCTCTATGGGGAACCCAATGTCTAGTAAGGATAGGACATTTCTGGGTGGGGGAGTGGTCCATTCTTCCCCCACCCAGGAGGAGCAGCAGGGTCCTTTGGCTTGTGCTGCAAGCTTCCCTCTGGCCCTAGGAGAAGCCATTCGTTACCTCCTAGGCTCTGCTTTCTCTTTAGTAGAATGCAGATGCCACCCTATCCTTAGATACCTCACAGACTTGAACTGGAGAGTAAACGGCCTTTGGGGAGTTTTGTAAAGTATACTTGCAGTTCAAATTAAAGACAAGAGTGGTAGGCAAGACCATGTGGCGGGTCAGTTCTATAATGGCCCAACATTTCAACAAGTCCAAGGTCAGACTGGGACAAGCCCCTGATGACCTTATACTGCTATATATCTAGCTTTATCCAGCTCCTCCCAGCTCCCAGCTCTCATTCTCTTTGGGAAAGAAGGGGAAATTAGAAATAGAAGGAGAGGAGTTGCAACTGGAAAATTCTTCCACCAAGGTTTTAAAATTAGCCCTGTACTTTCTGACTTTTCAGCACTAAAATTCTCAACTTTTCAATTGCAGGATTAAAGTTTACATTAATCTTTGTAAACTTGGCTCAAAATAACCCCCGCACCGAAAGTCTCAATAATTTTGTCCTGTAAAATTCTGAAACGGCTATCCTAATTCAGAGATTGGAATACTATGACCCACGGACCATATGTCGGTGTTCTGATAAAGCCACACCAATTTGTTATGTGTTGTTTGTGGCTGTTTTCACATTGTAGAAGCAGAGTTTTCTAGTTGGAACTAAGATTGGCACATGAAGCTGAAGACTATCTGACCCTTTACAGAAAACTTGCCAAATTCTGCTCTAGTTCTACCTGCCTCAAAATATAACAGAAAAAGCATAGCCCAAGACTGCTAACCCACTTTTTCTTCTTCAAAACTGGCAAGGTTTTGCTTTTTTTAAAAAGAAATTCTAACAAATCTCACATTTACAGAATCAGCATTTTTTTTTTTTTTTATGTGTTGGACAAACCTAGAAGAGGTATTTTCAGATTTATCATCAGTGGGAAAGTGTACTTTCCCACACATCCATATCTATTAGGCTGAACTAATTTTACACAGGCTTCTCAGAAAAACTTTGGCTGAAAGCTGAATTCACAAGCATACCACTCTCAGCCCCGAAGCAATTTTCTGAAACGAGAACCAGCTTGAAAAGTGGGATCTAAACAATATTCTATTACATCAAAGAACACCCGACTACTATGTCTTTTAAAATTTCAACTACTGCAGCAATACAATTTCTGACCATGCTTAGGAAAATGTATAAATCCTTCCTTATATTCAATTTTTTAAACTTAGAACACTAAGCAAAATGTATCCAAATAAAGAATCACTCAAAAAAGCAAAACAAATACCCAATTGAAGTTTGTAAAAGAAAATGCGGTTACTCACTGAGGTAAAGGGTGAGGATCCTTATTTCCCAGCCCTTGACCCCTTCAGGTGGTGGGTTAGCTTTCTCTAGTTTGAATATGGTAGGGAAAGGTCAGCCCATGTAATAAGAGCTCGTCCACCTTCCTTTCTCGGGTGTTAGTGTGTTCTCCCTTGATGAAATAAGTTGTTCTAAAGTAGGGATAAGAACAAGGACTTAGAGACATGGTGTCAACCAAATAAGAAAGAAAAAGGAAAGGTAAGCTATTCTTAAGATGTGGGCTCTAGCCGGGACCAGTTTGGCTCAATGGATAGAGCGTCGGCTTAGGGACTGAAAGGTCCCGGGTTTGATTCCAGTCAAGGGCATGTACCTTGGTTGCGGGCATATCCCCAGTGGGGGGCGTGCAGGAGGCAGCTGATCGATGACTCTCTCTCACTGATGTTTCTGACTCTCTATCTCTCTCCCTTCCTCTCTGTACAAAATCAATAAAATATATTAAAAAAAAAAGAAAAAAAAAAAAGATGTGGGCTCTAAAAGAAGTTCTAGTCCTAAAATATAACCCTATGCATCATATTTGTGAGGACAGTTCCCTCAATTGCTGCTAGAATACTTCCTTCATCAAAAAAAAAATTAATTTGTCCATCCCAAGATTAAAGGGAAACATTTGAGTATTTCACTGTCGTTTTTCTAAATAAGTTGTGACATGGCCTGTTCAGGATAGCTCTAAACAGAAAAATTAACAACTTTCCCTGATTATCCTTCGAAGGGATAGAGCTCATCTAGCACCTTCTCCATAAGCCAGTCTTAACTGAGTGCAAACCAGCCTGCCTAGAAAAGCCTGCCCCAGCCCGAAGACACAGACCTCCTGTCGAAGGACATTTGCAGTTCTCTCCAAGTGATCCGTTTTCCTTTTGGATTTCATTATGCTGTAACAGAGAGTAAAATTGGATTAGAAAGTATTATCCTCATAAGAATTAAATTAAGTTCCTTGTAATATCATGACTAAACAAATACAATATAATATCCTGGGTCCTAGAAAATGGTCTATAAAAATCTGTACACCTAACTAAAGTTTAACGATTTACTGATGCCATGCACATTTAAGCAGCGTGTTACGTTATGGCTTCCGGAGGTTGATATGCCTCCCATGACCATCGCAGGTCAGGTCTCTTTGAATAGCAACCTCAAATGACAATGAAGGTCGATAACTCACCTGGTTAGGGTAAGGTGGCGCAAAGCGCAGCGTGTCGCTTTCGACAAAGCAGCCTGGGAGCAGATGGCTCCAACAGAGCCTCGCAACAACCCAGGGACCAGGACAGCAGCCATGGTGCTTCCTGGGCAAACAGAACACTGAAAATTAAAAAGGTTAAGGAAAAGTGGGGAGCTGTCAAACTACTTTAGGGGCCAATGAGGAAGAGTTTACATTTTTGTTGGTGCTGTTATGAGCTGATTTAATGACAAAGCAATTAAGGGCCTAGCTCACACTGACAATTTCTGCCACTCTTCAGAGTTGATTCACCTGATCTCCACAATAAATACGATTGCAATTATTGGCGCCACCAAATATTCATGTTTCCTATTAATTTCTAAAATCTCTGACCAAGTTCACAAGACTAATCTTACACTATTACAGGGGAGTAGACTTTCTAACTGCAGTAGATATTTCTAACTGCTTAATAATTGTAGTCCAACCAAAGAGCACCACTAAGCCTTTAATATTTCTTGGTAGATAAAGTGCAGGGAGAAACAAACTGAGGTCCACAACAAAGAGAATAAACAAACAGCAACTACATGAAGTAACAGATGAATATTACAAATATCAAAGTGAATGAAAAGAATGAAAGCAGCCACTCAAAAGAGCACAGTCAGTGGGCCCAGTAATATAAAGTACAGAAACAGACAAAATTAATCCATGAAGCTAGAGATCAATTAGCAGTTATCCTTGGGAAAGCAGTAGTGATAATGTCATCTCTTAATCTGAATGACGATTGCATGGGTGTTCTCATTTTGTAAAAATTCCATCAAATCACAGAGGACTTTTAGGGCAGTAAAGACACTCTGTATACCATAATGATAAATATTCATCACTGGAGACCCAATGCACAAAATTTGTGCAAGGGGGAGAGGGATGTGTCCCTCAGCCCAATTTACTCCTCTCGAATCTGGAACATCCCTCTCACAATCCAGGACTGCTGGCTCCCAACTGCTCACCTGCCTGCCTTCCTGATTGGCCCTAACCATTTCTGCCTGCCAGCCCGATCACTCCCTAATCACTCCGCTGTCAGCCTGATTGATACCTAACTGCCCTCCCTTACAGGCCTGGTCCCCTTCAACTTCTCTTCCCTGCAGGCTTAGGTCCCCCCAACTGCCCTTCCCTGCAGGTCCAGTCGTCCCCAACTTCCCTCCTCTGCCGGCCTGGTCACCCCTAACTGCTCTCTCCTGCAGGCTTAATTGCCCCCAACTGTCCTCCCTTGTAGATTCCTCCCAACTGCCCTCTCCTGCTGGCCATCTGTGGTGGCCATCTTGTGTCCACATGGGAGCAGCCATCTTTGACCACATGTGGGCAGCCATCTTGTATCCATATGTTGGAATAATGGTCAATTTGCATATTACTCTTTTATTTGATAGGATTATACATTTGTCCTAATCCATAGCGTGTTGATTTCGACAAAGCAGCCTGGGAGCAGATTCACTAAGTGGAATTACCATATAATACCACTCTAGCGGGAGATGTTAATAACGGGGGATTGTTGATAATGGGGGAGGCCATGCTTGTGTACAGACAAAGGGTATATGGAAAATCTCTGTACTTTCTCCCCAATTTTGCTTTCAACCTAAAACTATTGTTAAAAATTATCTTAATAAAAAAATTTAATCAAGCTGTCCTTTTAGGATTTACGTACTTTTCTGTTTGTAAGTTATATTTGAATAAAAAGTTTAAAAAAACAAAACCCAGAAAGATCCCCAACATTTCCATGTCTAAAAACCTATCAAGAAAAGCACTGATTGGGAGTCAGATGATGTATTTTTTTATGTATTCTGCTTTCCTTGGCTAATTTTTAAATATTCCTTTGACTAAGATGGCCACTTTTAACACATTATATTGCCTATCTTAGAAAGCTTGAGAATAAATAAAGATGTATATGAACCCTCTTTTTTTCTAAGCTCTCTGGAAAGCACTAAACTAACTGTAATACACTTAGTGTTAGAAAAATATTCAAAGTAGATGTGCTTATGTTCCTACTCCATACTCACTAATTCAGTCCTTCATTTGACAAATACTTATTTAGAGCCCATTATGTGGCAGGTATGGGAATATAGACATTAATAAAACCAAGGCCTTCTTAGGGAGCTAATATTTTAAAAGGTAGAGACAAAAAATAGACAAAAGTAAATAAATCAGGTGGTGATATAAGTCATATGTAATTTATTCAGATATAACCAAATTGTATAAAAGAGCCACTGCCTCACACTTAATCTTTAGATAAGGTAAAAGACCTATTTCTTGCCATAGTGTGACATAGCATCACTGTGGATAAATAATGCTACTTGCTATTTTTCTCTTGCATAAATGAAAAAAAGTATAGTGCCTCTTTACCTCATGCAAAACTACTAAATGTAGTTTCTCTCCTTTAAATATGCTAAACCCAAAATGGTGTTAATCACTGAAAAAAAGAAACTTACTTTAGAAGTCCATGAGACTTTTAGGAGTCATTAAGTTTATGGCTGGCCGACTGACGGATATGCAATATTTTGGTCCTGGTATTATACTGAGACCTTCGGATATACACTGGTTGGAACCCAGACTAGTGTTTCCATACAATGAAATCCTCACAAAGCTCCTGCAATGACAGAGACAACATATAAGAACAATATTTTGGGGAACTGTTAAAAAGAACTACTGTCTCCTAGCTGCAAATGAAAAGGTTTATTATAATCAGTAGGCATCGCCTCACAATAAAACTACTCTCAATTTCCCCTTTTCCATCAAGTCTTCCTCTTATCTTTCTATTTTTCTTTTTTCTGTCTTTTTTCCCCCCCCCTCTTTTCTGATTCTACCCTATGAAAGCCCAGACCAACGGCTGGAATGATACAGTTAGTGTCATTTAAGGCCAAGTTCTCTAATAAAATTTAATTGCTATATAGTTTATTATGAAAACATTGTTCTGCTTGGGATAATTACTGCTAAAATAATCTTCACATAAGATACAGCTTTTAGTGATTATGATGTTTGAATGGTCTGATGTTCAAATGAACTGGAAAACAAAGACATGTTAATTTTTCAAAGCTGTTTTCTTTAAAATTCTAAAACCTTGTTTTATAATAATAACCATGACCAAGAGTGCCACCTACTGGTAAATACAGAGTATTTTTTTTATTAAATTGTGTTCAAAGGAAGTTTTAAAGCAGTAAGGTATTAAAAAAAAACACCTATTTTTTGAAATATGTCTAATAGTTTCATATATGCAATTTAATTAAGCATATAATATTAATATAGATTACTTTTAAAACCATACAAAAAAGAATATTCCATAAATGTTTGTATCCTCATAGGCCTTACCTCATACACACAAAAAATCTTAATTAACTCTATTTCTGAAACAGAGAAAATTATCATAATGCTAAATAAAACATATCCATATTAGCAATAAAAATTACTGCAAGGAGCAGATTAAAGATTTAAAATTACCTGTTCTGATTTCTGTTCAATAAGAATATTCAATTTATTAAACAATTACTGGGGTGTCAGGTACATTAGGCCACAGAAACACAATAAAGAACCAAACACAAGGTCCTCACCATCTTGAAGCTTTTATTACAGTGTGTGTGACAGATAATAGTAAATAGATAATTAATGAGACAATTACTGATTACAATGAGTAAGATAAAAGAAATGAGTACTTCAGTTGGTTAGAGTGTCATCCTGATATATCAAGATTGCATTAATAAGTGAGCCAATGAATGCATTAAGTGGAACAACAAATCAATGTTGTCCTCTCTCTCTCCCTTTCTCTCTCTCTAATCAATAATAATAAAATAAAATAAAAGAGCAGTGGGATGGGTGGGGGAATATCAGAAAAGCCTCTCTCAAGAGACATAAGCTGAAACCTGAATGATGAGGAAGAGGCAGCCAAGCAGATGTTAAGAGCAGAGCATCTGGGCAGAGGCCCAGTCAGTCACACTAGTGTTAAGGAACCACGGCCAGCGTTACTGAGGAGCAATGAGCTAGGTGAGCATGATGTAAGATGAAGTCAAGCAGACAGACATGCCAGATCACATCAGGCTATAGTATGAGTAAGGACTTTATTCTAAGGGCAATGTTCCCATTGCAACTGAATAGTTTGAATAAACAAGGAGAGGGACATGATCAAATTTACATTCAAGACTGCTCAGGCTGCTATGTGAAGAACTGATCATAGAGGGGCAAGAGCCAAAACCGGTTTGGCTCAGTGGATAGAGCGTCGGTCTGCGGACTGAAAAGTCCCGGGTTCGATTCCAGTCAAGGGCATGTACCTTGGTTGCGGGCACATCCCCAGTAAGGGGTGTGCAAGAGGCAGCTGATCGATGATTCTCTCTCATCGATGTTTCTAACTCTCTATCCTTCTCTCTTTCTCTCTATAAAATATATTTTAAAAATTAAAAATTAAAAAAATAGAGGGGCAAGAGTTGAAGCAGGAAGTCAAGTTAGAAGGCTCTATTCTAGGATTAAGTTACAAAGATAACAGAAGTAGATACACATGGAATATATTTTAGAATTAAAGACCTAAGATTTGTTGATAGTTTGGATGAAGTAAGAGAGCAGTGAGAGAAAGAGAAAAGCCAAGAACACCTTAAAGATCATTAATGCACTGAAATAAAGTAAACTCATAGAAATACCATGGTATCCATTGATTTAGAACCCTAGGTGCCATTGAAGAAGCAAAGGGGTTCTTGGCATTTGGTAAGTGAACCTGGTGGCATACAAGTCATTTCAAGAGTACTTGACTTGGAATCCATGAAACTGGGCTCAGATCTGACTCCTTCCTGCTTTTTGATCTGGGGCCAGTCACCTCTTACCATTTTTAAATGGGAATGCCAACACCACTTCATTGGATTGCTGAGAGAAATAAAGTTCTAAAAGAAGTACCTGGCAAGCAAGAGTATTACAAAAAAAACAAGCCAAATTCTCCCCTCCCTGCCAAACAATCTCGCAAGGTAGTGGTTTGAGACTGCTAATAAACAATTCCCTTTAGCCTGATAATACAACAGGCACTCATAAAATACAGTTTCTATTACATAATTGTGACTTATTTCTAAGTTTGATCTTATGTTAAGAATTTTGATCACTGCTATTTTCCAGGTCAGTAAGGTTAACATTTTATAATTTTTTTTAATTTTTTTTTATTTTTTTTTTAAATCAATCTTTATTGTTCATATTATTACAAAGGTTCCTCATTTCTTCCCCCCTCCACCAGGTTCCCACCCCACCCTCCGTCCCCCCCCCCAGCCCCCATTGTTCTCATCCATAGGTGCAGTTTATGTTCAGTCTCTTCTTCCCTCAATTTCCCCAATAGTAAGTCCCTTTTCAGATAGTAAATCAGTTACTTAGCATTTTCTCATATCAATAATACCTCCACATGCCCAATGATACACTTCACACAAAATACATTTCCCACTAGGTCAACCAGCCTCATCCAGGCCCCACCCAAGGCCCTCACAGATCAACACCCCAGTCCTAAACTAATTCAACACATCCAGATCTAAGCCTTCATCACTTGATTCAGCAGACCCTCAAGTTCCCACGAAAGTTTCCAGCCATGTCTGAGAAGCAGCCGTGGGGCAGGGGCAGGCAAGGAGCGAGCTGTTCTGGGCCTGGCTGCTCAGGGCCTGGCCTCTGTTGCTCTGGTTCATTCCACAACCAGCTGCTCCGGGTCTGGTCACTGCCGCTCCCGACCTAGTTGCTCTGGACTTGGCTGCTGCTGCTCCGGGCCTGGCCGCTCCCAGCCTGGCAGCCGCTGCTCCGGGCCTGGCCGCACCCGACCCGCCTGCTCCCCCGGGCCTGGCCGCTCCCAGCCTGGCAGCCGCTGCTCCGGGCCTAGCCGCACCCGACCCGCCTGCTCCCCCGGGCCTGGCCGCTCCCAGCCTGGCAGCCGCTGCTCCGGGCCTGGCCGCACCCGACCCGCCTGCTCCCCCGGGCCTGGCCGCTCCCAGCCTGGCAGCCGCTGCTCCGGGCCTGGCCGCACCCGACCCGCCTGCTCCCCCGGGCCTGGCCGCTCCCAGCCTGGCAGCCGCTGCTCCGGGCCTGGCCGCACCAGCCCCGCCCGCTCCCCCGGGCCTGGCCGCTCCCAGCCTGGCAGCCGCTGCTCCGGGCCTGGCCGCACCCGACCCGGCCGCTCCCCCGGGCCTGGCCGCTCCCAGCCTGGCAGCCGCTGCTCCGGGCCTGGCCGCACCCGACCCGCCTGCTCCCCCGGGCCTGGCCGCTCCCAGCCTGGCAGCCGCTGCTCCGGGCCTGGCCGCACCCGACCCGCCTGCTCCCCCGGGCCTGGCCGCTCCCAGCCTGGCAGCCGCTGCTCCGGGCCTGGCCGCACCAGCCCCGCCAACATTTTATAATTTTTTAAAAAAAATTTTTTTAACTATAATTGATCCAATAGCAACTAGTAAGTCTTCTTTTGTCATGCTTTCGGGGTCCAAAAATGTCTCATAACAGAATGTTTTTGTTACCTTTTAAGAATAAAGTTTAATAGTCACTGTAATTTTTATTTTAAAATGCTGTGGGGATTTAAAAACAAAACAAAACAAAACAAACAAAAAACACCTGCATCATGTGTTTGGCTAAGGTTATATTTTCTTTAGCGCAGTATGAACTCAAAACTGGGAAGCACCTCTGGCCAATAAACAGCAGGATAAAAACAGTATGGAAGGCCAAGAAGACCCCGAAATCTAGGTCTCAAGGGCACCAGCACTGCCCGTGAAAAATCTCAGCAATCTGAAGAACTGCAGGGCTGTTATTTAAGCTCTGCTTCAGCACCATCATATCACAGATGAAACTGAAGTTATGAAAAGCCTAGGTTCTAAGTCAGACAGATCTGAGTTCTCACCATAGCCACTGCCACTTACAGCTCTGCCTCGTTAGGCAAGTCTCCTTAGCCCTTATACCTCGTTCCCAATGTTGAAGATGGGACTAATATCTATAACTCATTGGACTGGTATATAACAGCACTAGAGGCCCAGTGCACAAATTCATGCACCAGTGGAGTCCATTGGCCTGGCCTGGGGGATTGAGCCAAAATTGGCTGACATCCCCCAAGGGGTCCTGGATTGTGAAAGGGTGCAGGCCAGGCCAAGGGATCCCACCGGTACATGATCGGGGCCCGGGAGGGACATGGGATGTTGGCCAGCTGGGGACAGACCATTGAGAGGGCTCCAGGGCATGTCCCCGCCTGTCTCGCTCAGTCCCAATCAGCCAGACCCCAGCAGCAAGCTAACCTACCAGTCGCAGCATCTTCCTCCTGGTGGTCAGTGCATGTCATAGCGACTGGTTGACCAGTCTACTGATTGCCCCCAGTGCTCAGTGCACGTGATAGCCAGCGGTTGAGCAACCTTAGCATATCATTAGCATATTATGCTTTGATTCATTGAACTGCCAACCTGACAACCGGTCACTTAGCATATTAGGCTTTTATTACATAGGATAATGCATGCAAACCATTTGGTACAGTGCCTGGCACATAGTGCCAATTATTATTAAGTATTTCATTAGTTTTGCTTTTCACTTTAGGTAATACACACTTGAAGAAAAGTTGGAAAATTACAAAGAAATTATTATTTTTTAAATTACCCAAAACCCCTGTAACTTTTAGGACTACTAGCCTCAGATCTGAAGATTCCCCAGACAGTGTTTGATAGATATAAATTGCTCTCTAAAAGGTCTACTAATTTATACTTCCATGAAACAGGTACGACAGCACGCATTTGTGTACATTCAAAAATGGCTCATCTCTAATTTTTAGGTACTTATTCTCAGAAGCACTGAAGAACAAAGGATGGTTCCCAACCTCAAAATATTCACTGAGACGTCAGAATAAGACACTGGAGATTCTCCCCTGGCCTCCTGACCTCAAGAGGCTACCTGGGAAGTATCTGCTCCCCGAGCTTGGCTGGAATTTCTCCTTTGCTCAGACAGAGCAGAATCATCTCAGTTAACCCATGAAAGGTTTAAAGATGTTTCCTAACTTCTGGGTAGATCTTCAGTTACCCAAAGTGGATTATTTGTGAGGCATTTGAAATAATCTACTACAACCTTTAAGGTAACTTATGGATTTTCTCCCTAAAGATTTCTCTGCCTTTAGATTTTCAAGCCTTAAAAGGGCTAACCCAGTTGAAACTTCAATTGTGTGCACAAAATTGGAAGCTTCATGTAAACATGTGAGTTCGTACACATAAATATGCATAGGAATGTATACATATGTATGATATGAAAATTAAGTATGGTACATATGACATATGATTGCTGAACCACGCAAAACTCAGATCTGAAGGGGATCTTGTAAATCATCTCTTATCCAACCTTTTTTTAGTCAGAAGAAAGGAAGTTCAAAGAATGTAAGTATCCAGTTCCCAGTGTTACAACAGTCAAATCCTGGACCCAGATCAGCTTCTCCATAGAACCTTTTTCACAGCGCTTCAGTCCTTCTCTACCAAGACTTGATTTAATACCTGGCAATGAAAAACTCTACCCCATAAAACCAGTTTTACCTACACAGGCACTAGCACCGTTTCCAAGGCAAAGCACCTTTTATTTGCATTTCGCTTCAAATATAAAGAAACCTCAGATAGCATTAACGGTCTGCTAATGCCATCCATTCCTTGTACAAAGAACTGTGGTTCACATAAGTTATGTGTTCCCAGGCTTTGGGGACAGATAGGTGCTTCATTTCCTAAGTGTATAACTTTGGTCAAAATACCCAACTCTCTGTATCCCTGTATGAAGATTAATAATATGGAATAACATCTAAACTCCCAAGGTTGATGGGAGAATTATACTAAGCGCAATATCGGGCACAAAGCGAATTCCCTGTAATAAAAGGTTATTACTGTTATTATAAATCATTTTAGTAAATAATGTCTTATGTTTGGCAAACATAGAACTAGAACGCCTTCTGCCTCCCAGGTCTTGGTCCTTTCAGCAACACAAATTCCGGGCATTTGACGCTAATCTGGGTAATGAAGAAACGGAGCTATACCTGAACAGCCAAGAGCAGCCACGAACTACAAGCTAGGCGTCACCTGGAGCGCAAGGTCACCCGGCGAATCGAAATTCCAAGGGAGCCCTTCCTCGGTCGCCACGGGAAGGCAGAGATCGAGAAGGCGAGGCTGCGGTCCTTCCTCCAGGGGCGCCGAGGGCCCAGACTGTGCCACCCCGGCCTGCTGCGGCCTGCTGCGGGGGCTGGTTAAGGCCTCAGACCCAGGGACATGAGGCCGGCAACCACAACCCGGCAGCAAGGTGCCTCCGCGAAGCCGACACTGCCAGTACCTATCATCCAGAAAAGAGCCCAGCTCCGTCGGGGCCAGGAAGCTTCCGGTGTCCCCGACGTGACGTAGCAGCAGCGCGCGCGCGATCCTCGCATTCTATTGGTCGCTTCCGTCCAGTGGGCAGAGCGGTACTAGACACCTCTGAGCAGCACGCAAGCTGTCCCACGGTCTCCTTGGGCAGTTCAGCCATCTCCATGGTGACCAGCGCCGGGTCACCCATTTGGCTTCCGAGCCCGCTGTTGCGTCATTGTGAGGCGCCGGAAGTGATCGTTCCTGCGCCGGGGCGTGGTGGCACCACCCGGCTGGGGCCGGGGTCCTCGAAGTTAGGCCAGTCCGGGTCGGTTTCGACCGGTGGGGGGGCTCCCCTATCAGGCCCCAGAACGATGGCGGTGTTTCACGACGAGGTGGAAATCGAGGACTTCCAATACGACGAGGACCTGGAGACGTATTTCTACCCCTGTCCTTGCGGCGATAACTTCTGCATCACTAAGGTAACCTCAGCTCCCGCGGCCGCTCGCTAGCGCAGGCGCGTGTTGCTCTGCGGCGATTCTTCCGCCTCCCTGTAGCCCGCGCGACTCCAGTTATCCCTTTATCCTGTGTGTGAATTCTCCCAAATTGGATAGTCTCAGTTATCAGTGGGCATTTCGTTCTGGCCTTTATTCAGGCCTAGTGGGGGAGGGAAGGGGCTGGATGGCGGGGAATATCCGACTTTTCGCTCCCCCCAACTCTCTCTCCCCCTCCCCCCCCCCCCTTTAGCATCCTTCGGGTTCACCTTCCTGGGACACCTCTTTGGAGGAAGGGTTTTGTCTTCCCAAAGATTTTGAGGCGAGTGAACCTTTACCAGCCTTCCGGAGTATTTCTCCCCGGGTGACGCTTCCAGGGAAACTTGGGGTTGGCATTTCTCTGGGAAGGTCTCTGACCCTCTATACCTTGTGGGGGAGGCGAGTCGCAAAGGAGCTCGCCCCTGGGGGTGAGAGGATTTTGGGAGGAGGAGTTTGCAAAGGGAAGGCAAGGCCATTCATAACATATGTTTGATTTTGTTGTAGGAAGACTTGGAGAACGGGGAAGACGTGGCCACGTGTCCTAGCTGCTCCCTCATTATAAAAGTGATTTATGACAAAGTAAGGGGTCCAGTTTTAAAAGGGGGTGGGAAGAGGGTTGTGGTGCAAGAACCTTGAGCAGTCTGTTTATAATCTGTAGGTGCAGGAGAATGTTTTCTAACAAGTGTGTTAGGCAAATGCTATGTTTTTTCCAAACCAATTTTAAAAAGCATTAGTAAACAGCCGTATCGTAAATTAAAATCTTAAAAAGCTCAAATTAGCTGATTTTAGTTTTAGACAGGACAGTAAAGAAAACTGCTTTTATCTAATGAAAATTATTAAATAAAAGGAATAATTATAAAAGCTATTTAGTTGACCGTCTTTATTCTTTTATTTGATAATGTGGATGAAAGGGGCCACATGCTGACCTGTCAAGCTCAGGGAAGGCCTGCATGGCAGTCTTGCAAACTCAGAGACCTAAAGTAACCACAAAGGATGGTCTGAAATTAAACTTCAATGGTGGGTAGTTATATCCTAGGCTGGTATCTTCACTGACAAGGTCAACCTTTACCTTAACTGAGCCTATCTGCCTTTTTACATCTATGATAACATACCCTTTGAAATGTCTGGGTAACTTGTAACTTCCCTTTTTCTGGGGCCCCTGGGGCACAACCTAAAGTACGGGGCACCTGGGCAAATACCACAAATTCCTTCATTATCATGTTAATTGTTCCTGCACCCACCCAAGTATGTGTCTGTCATTTTACTTTTTATCCAATCCCAGGTGTTTCCCCACTTTGCTTTCTCCCACCTCTCTAGTGTATCACCCATGGATTTCATGTAACCCACCTATGCCCTTTCCTTGATTGCAGTGTATAAATAAAAATGTAACACTCGTCTCGGGAGCATTATCTCAATTCATAGAGGTTCTGCTTCCCAGCATATGTGGACAGTTTGGCTCAAATGAACTCACAAAAATTCTTTACAGATTTCAATGGGGTTTGTTTTGTTTTGTTTTTTTGTTAACAATGAGTAATTAAAATTGTTCAGAGCACCTATATTTATTTTGAAGGGAACAGTTGTATAGTATTTCTTACCTGGCTTAGATAAAACTACATTATATTTGAGATATAATCATAGTTTCAGTTTTACAATTTCATTTTAGTCTTTAGTTGTCCTGTTGTTTTTCCTCCAAGAACATTGAAAATAGAAAACTAAATATTATTACTGCTTATCCCAACTTTTGTTCAGTACTTTGAACAAAGTCTTAAGTAGAAGCTTAACATTCTTTTTTCTTTTTGAGATATAATTAACATGGAACAGCTTGACATTTTTAAGGATGACCTATAACGTGATTATAGGGAAGGTGGGAATAAGGCACTTCTCCTCAAGAGAAAAGCAGGCTATAATTTAGACTTTAATTAGAAGTTTACTGATTATTCTTATATTAAAATGTGTTCTGGAACAAAAGAGAACAGGGTAAGATCAGGAGTGCTGGTATGAGATCGCAGCAGGCCTTACTGAGCAGAGATTGAACAGGGTAAGGGGGTGAGCTCGGTACACAGTAGGGGTAGGAGCGGTTGGCAAAGGGAACTTGCAGTGAAGAAACCCAAAGACAGAAACATGCTTGGTTTTATCAAGGAACAGCAAGGAGGCCAGTGTGACCGGGGCAGAGTAAAGAGGGTGGGGATTGTCCTAGATGAATTAGTAGATGGGGCCGGTCACAGAGGTGTTTGTGGGCCACTCTAAGGACTTTGGCTTTTCCTGTGAGTGATAATAGGGAACCAGTGGAGGATTTTAGTGCCATGAACCAACTCAAGTTTTAAAAGAGGGGTTTCAGCTGCTAAGTTCAGAGTAGACTACATAGGAGCAAGGATAAGAGACAAGAAAACCAGGTAGGAGGCTGTTAGACTAATGAAAGGAGGGGATGGTTTGCTGGGAAGAGGGGGAGAAAGAAACATCAATGGGATAGGGACACAACAACTGGTTGCCTCCTGCACATGCCCCAATCTGGGAGCAGGAAGGGAACCCACACTCTGCAGTGCTCAGGCCAGTGCTCTAACCATTGAGCACACTGGCCAGGACAAGGGCAGATTCTTTACTGACTGTGAGAGATATAGGATATAGGATGTGAGAGAAATCGTGGATGATAGCAACATTTGTGGCCTCCATAGCAGATTTAGGGGCTGGAGTTGAACGTACTGTGTGTGAGAGGTCTGTTTTTATCCAAGTAGAGCTGGCCAGGAGGAATTGGATATGTAAGTATGGAGTTCAAAGAGTGATCATTTGGCACTATAAATTTGAGAGTAATCAGCATATAGCCTTTTAGTTGGAAGAAGTAATAATTTTGAAGAAGACAGGCATTTGTATAGCCAAATACTGAAGTGGAGAACTTTTACTGTAAGTAGTAATTAATACAGAATCTTAAAAGGTGTGGCAATATCTTTATAAATGTGATTTCTGAGAGGTGGGTGCTCTGTTAGTGAAGATAAGCATATTTGTGTACAAGATAAGGTATTTTATCTTAGATATGAGATCCTGACTAAAAAGGGATTCATTTTTAAGCTTATAAATCTGATGCTAACGCTGACTAGTTAAGCAAGGATGAAGTGATATAGCTATGGGAAAACTCAGCCGATTGATTCTGTAACGATGAAAGTTTACTATTGATGCATTTGTGACACACTTGGTGGTTAAGGTAATTTTCTGTCCGTTCCCAGGAGCAGTTTGTGTGTGGAGAAACAGTCCCAGCCCCTTCCACCAACAAAGAATTAGTTAAATGCTAAAGAAAGACTTTGGGAATCCAAATCCTGAACATTCGGGGATGAACCACGCTGGAAAAGTCGAGGCACAGATCCTGGCTTCCTCATGGGGACAACTGCTTCATAGTTTGCTGCTGTGGATTCTTTTCGTCGGCTTTGCTGCTGTGGATTCTTTTCATCGGCTCCGTGTTCATCTCCAATTAAAGAAGCAAGTCCATGACATGACATACCTGGATTTCATGCTTAGAACTTTGAATTGGAAAAGGTGTTCTTTATTTTCACATGAATGTAAAGGAAGATAATTCCAGTCAGTGCTTTCATTCCCTCATTGTTATTTTATCTTATACCTAATTTATTATTTGATAGCATCGTCTACCTCAAAGTCATTTGGATTCCTTCATTTAAAAAGGTTTCATTTAACTGGTTATTAGGATTATTAAAATTAGGCCTTTTTGAAATTGGCATTAGGTTTGGTATTCTAACTGAAGAAAATAAGTTTGCCTTGTCAGTACTGCTCTGACGTTCCCACTCCAAGCCAGTCTTCTGGGTCCGGCCATTAACAGAACGTTCTTGTTTTGTTAGGCACGTCTTTTCCATTGTACCTCCGTGCTCTGAGTTCTAGTCACGGTATTTTAGAGATAACATAATAAGCTCACAGTTTTTTTCCAGAGCTAAAAGTTAGAAAAGTCAAAAAGGATATGGAATTTCCTGTCAACATTCTGCATGTTCCTTGAAAATCAGGATAAGACAAAAAAGGAGAACAGCCCAGGAAGTGAAATTGGCAACAGAATGATGGGAGAAAAACAAGGCAGCTCACTAAATTAAATGCTTGAATGTTGTCGCCAGATCAGAGCAAATACTATTTCTGTATCTGGGTTCTTGTTTGTTTGTTGCTTGTAGACATGGTTGATGCAAGTGCATTCGAGATAGGGGTTACTGTCAGGTCTTCATGGCTCAAGGCAAATGTTTAGCATTCCCCCAATATCGAGTCACTACTCCTAAAGGTAAAGCTTTTACAAATCTTATATTTTCTGAGGAAGAACTTGAAAATGAGATGCCTATTCTCAGTAAGTATGCCCCTGAGAGCACATTTAATAAGCCTCTACAAGTTGTCACCAAATCAAACATTCACCCTTACAGAGAAATGTTGCCCAGGAGAAAAAGAAATATGCAAAGATAGGCTATCAGTCTTCCTACAATGTAGTGCTGAGAGTGGCAAGAAATTAGATCACTTACATGCAAATGCAAAAATTCTCTTTATATGCACAATTTTGCTGTGTGTATCAATTAAAAAAAAAAAAAACCAACACTGATGTCTGGCAGAGTGTGGGGAATGGCTCCCACAAGTAAAGAGAAATTCCTGCCAGAATGTAAACATTGTATTACTGGTTGATAAACATGCTACATACACTCTTTGGGGTTTAAAACAAGTGAGTGGCCTTTTTTTTTTTTTTCTTTGCCAGCCAGCAGCATGGCCATGTGTAGCCATTAGCTGAGACATAAAATAAATTACCAAAAATGTGTGCCGAAAGTACTTGGTACATTACATGAAGCATTATGTGGCTTATTCTTGATGCGATGAGAACCTCATTGCTGTTCGGGGCACTGGCACCCCAGAAGCCATCCACACCTGCTTTGGAATCCATGATGGCTCCGATGAACAGCAGGTGCTGACTTGATTAGAAATGAGCTGCAAACAGAAACAAACTGCCCATATGCAAATGGTGATGGCTTTGTAGATACCAGTGATGTTAGCTCCCTCGGTTAATGATGAATTTCAAATGAACAGGGACCCTTGATACAGGTCTATGAGCACAGAAGAGCAGAGGGAAAGTGGCCCGAGTCCAAGAAAGCATAAACAGCTATCCGTGATCAGTGTTAAGCTGCAATCATGGGAATGATTTTGTTTCCAAAGTCCCCATGAGTCACTCGGTTTGTTAACTATACTAGAACACATCAGGATTTAATTTAAATGTCTATAAAGCAGAGAGTAAAACCAGGGTCTTTCAGACATGACTAGAGTTGGGTGTGATTTATGTGCCTTATTTAATTCAGCAGACCTTTCTGGAGCACCTCTGAGAAATGTGTAATTCAGCCTCTGTCTTACTAGCTTTGTAATCTTTGGGCAAGGCCAGTGGATTCTTTATCTGCATACTTAGGAGAATCAGGAGAGACTGAATCGGGTGAGTTTTAAACCGTCACTTCAGGCTTTGTAACTTGCAGGAGCTGAAATGGTCATTGAAAGCTTTATAAACTCAAAACTGTAAGAAAGAGGCTTCATTCTTCAGTAACTTGATGTTACCATACTTCTGAATTTGAAAATTATACAGTCAACTGTGTAAATGATTATGTATATCTTTATAACTATATATTAATTTATTACCAGAATAATTGTATTGGCATGCTCAATAAAGTCAGATAATTCAAATCTATTTGTTTTCATGTGGGTATTCTTCCACTAACTAAATAGCATTTTGTATTTGATGTAATGTTATATGAGGTGGGAATTTTTAACCTGCTTTAGGGCATTGTAAGGTTTCTGCTATGAACAGAGGAATTTTTAAATAGAAAAGAAATTGCCACTGTTTCTACACTCTGGCCACATGGGTTTGGGCTCTGGAATTTTTACTGTTATTTGAAGAAAATATACATAGTTTTGAGCCAAGGCAAAGGTGACATTTTTAGGTGAGTAATTCAATTTATTGCTAGGGGGAAGGAGGTGTGGGGAGAAGTTTATTTAAGCCTGATGATCAATTCTTGAAATGGTTTGAAAGCCTAGCCCTGGTCCATTTGAATCTCAGTTTCTCCACTGTGATCTTTGACAAGTTACTTAGTCTTTTTGTATTTCTATGTTCTGGTCTGTGAAATACAGACCATATTGGGCCCTCTTTCCTAGAGTTGCTCTGTGGATTCATTCATTTGGCAAGTGTTTGCAGAGTGCTGTTGTCTGCTAGGCAGGAGATGAAGACAAGCAGGGTTTCTGTCATCATGGAGCTGACTGCAACTAGAAGAGAGGAAATACCAGGTAAGGTTACAGACTGGTTAGGGCCCGGAAGAAAACAATTCAGGTGATGCGATAGTCACTGCAGCAGGTGCTTTTGTAAAGGGTAGGCAGAAGGTGTCTCAGGTTGGCCCTTTTTCTGAGACCTGAAGGATGAGAATGACAGCTTCGTGAAAATAATTGAGATAATGACTTAAAAACAGCATACCTGTCATATGTGCAGAAAAAGATCATTATAATTTCAAAAGGAACTCAATATTGCTTTGATAATTGACAGCATTTTTAGAATAAGTATGAGAAGTGTGAAATATTGAACAGCTGCCACACTTTACTGAGTATCTTGGGGTGGGCTTAATCCCTCTAGATCAGCGGTTGCCAACCTTTTGGGCCTCACGGACCACCAGTGGTCCAAGAACCACCCGTTGGCAACCTCCTGCTCTAGATGATTCTGATGCAGCTGTAGTTGGAGGACCACTGGTCTAGAACTGGTTTTCGAACTTGGCAACACATTGGAATCACCTGGAGTGCTTTAAAACGATTGCTACCCCAGAGAGGGTCTGATTTAATTGGCCTGGGTGCTGCGTGGGCTTTGGGATTTTAAAAGAATCTCCCTGGTGATTCCAATGTGCAGTCAAAGCTGAGAACCACTAGGCGAGAAAAGCAGAAAATTCATAATCACAAAGTAAAGAGACTCAATTTTCTTAAAGTGGTCGCACCTGCTTTGCATGGGGAGCAGTGTGTGGGTTCAGTTGGTGGCACACTGTTCAGCCATGCAGTCAGACTTTAAGTGACCAGAGGACTGGGCTAATGAACACAATGGGGGAGCCCCGATATGGGCAGCCTCTGGGCTACGCCCCCTATTTAACAGGCAATCACACTCTTAACAACACAGGCTGGCTGTTAATTACACACCTTTCAAAAGTGACAGCTTCTGCAGGTGTGAGTAATTAGGGTTTTTTTAACTTCGTTTGAGGATGCCTGCCATTCCCTACTTCCTATAAAACAAATTGCTCATGATTACGTCTTAGACTGGGAAACCATTTTCTCAAAATCTTCCTTGTTCAGGGTTTAAAACAAAGGACATATGAAAAAGAAATCAGAGTTAAAAATACTATCCCAGCTCACAGAAGGCATACAATGGGGGGTTGGGGTAAGGCGGCAGCAGAATCTCCACCTTTCTTTACGGACTAGCAGAAGAGCCCTAGAACTCAGGGGGCAAAAGCCACACAATTGTAGTAGAATTCAGGATTAATATTGGACTAATTCTAGAAAGCATGTTAGCATGTTTTCTTTTTTTTAAAAAAATTTTTTTTATTGATTTCAAAGAGAGAGAGAAACAGCAATGATGAAAGAGAATCATTATTGGCTTCTCCGGAATACCCCACATGGGATGAAGCCCACAACCCGGGCATGTGCCCTGACCGGGAATTGAACTGTGACGACCTGGTTCATGGGTTGACGCTCAACCACTGAGCCATACCAGCTGGGTGCATGTTAGCATTTTTCGAAAGAAAATTGGTCGCCCCTAAAATTAGGAGGGAAAAGTCACTAACCAGTCTTCCCCAAGCGCTGGTGCTGGCAGCGAAAGCTGAGTTAGGCACATCCAGCTGCTGGAGGGGAAGCCAGGGAGCGGCTAGGAAGAAGTCTGGGGAGGTCATTGCTTCTATGTTGCTATTATCTCCGAGCTCACAGCCAAGCACTTGGTGATGAGCGGGGGTTGCTATTGGTCTGTAGAGCTGGCATACAGAAAGGAGAGCTGACTTGTAGCGGGAAAGAGGACAAGGTAACCTCCCACACCAGCTGTCTTACCACCTCTAACCTCAGCGGTCTTCAGAGTCTCAGTTGCTGCTTCCCTTCTGCCTTCCAAACTTTGCACAAATCTCCCTTTTGGAGCCAACTGCAACCCAGAACCATGCAGGAAGAGAATGCTGGGAAACATTGTTCCAGCTTAGCCAAGTTGATGCAACACAAAACTCCCAGATTTATCGATATTGGAAAAACCTCCAAACCCACCTGAGGGTTT